TTAATTTGTTACACGAATTTTGAATGGCAATGCACATCAAATATGAACGACCGGTGATGAAAGATTGGTTGTACACCCAAACTAAATCTGACTATAAGAAAGAGACCAAAACTTAAAAAGATATCCAATAACTGAACTTTTTAAAATGATTATTATTATTTTACCATTTTTGGGTGAACTATCTTAATAAATCCATGTTCCAAAGTATTCAACAACTTAAGTTAAAATGTCATAGTGTTTTTTTTATATAGCACAATGGAAATAAATGTGAAAAAGTACATACAACATTGATCAACATAATTTACCGTGGTGGTTAAGTGCTGGAAAAGCATAAAAATGCACCTTGAAAGTGCTTGAAAAGTGCTGGAATTTGAAGTTTGAAAAGGTGTAAGAACCCTGTAGTAATCTTTAAATGCCTTTAAGATTTAAGCTTAATTAAAGAGTTAGAGAGTTATTACAGCTCTGATCTATGTTCTGTCTCTAATAGTTTGGCTTTGTGTCCAGACGTCCTGTAAAAATCAGGATAATTTAGATCCAGCCGGTGGTGTTCACAGATTAAACACTTCAGTCTTAATATCCAACAGCTGCTGATAAACCTGTCTGGCTTTATTCTGTGATAACCACTGGCTAGATGTACATCATCCATCATCAGTTTCCTCTCTCGTCTCGACTCGTCATTAGTGTGTATTTTCAGCTTTATATTTGGACCAGTTTTTGTTCTGTTCAATGGACATTTTGGACAAAAATCCAAATGTCCTCATCATTTGTCATCATTCCAGTGTTCCTAAACTTTTATGAAATTCTTTCTTCTGTTAAAAATCAAGATATTCCCTGTATATTTATTATACACTCACCGGCCACTTTATTAGGTACACCTTACTAGTACTGGGTTAGGCCCCTTTTCCATCAGATCTGCCTTAATCCTTTGTGATTCAGCAAGCTACTGGAAATATTCCTCAGAGATTTTGCTCCATATTGTCATGATAGCATCACACAGTTGCTGCAGATTTGTCGGCTGCACATCCATGATGCCAATCTCCCGTTCCACCACATCCCAAAGCTGCTCTATTGGATTGAGCTCTGGTGACTGTGGAGACCATTTGAGTACAGTGAACTCATCGTCATGTTCAGCAGTCTGAGATGATTGAGCTTTATGACATGCTGCGTTATCCTGCTGGAAGTAGCCATCAGAAGATGGAGACACTGTGCTCATAAAGGGATGGACATGGTCAGCAGCAATACTCGGGTAGGCCGTGGCGTTGATGCTCAATTGGTACTAATGGAGCCAAAGTGTGCCAAGAAAATCTTGAGGATCTGAAACTCTTCCCCATTCTGATGCTCGCTTTAAACTTTAAGCAGATTGTCCTGATCATGTCTACATGCCTAAATGCATTGAGCTGCTGCCATGTGATTGGCTGATTAGGAATTTGTGTTAACAAGCAGCTGGACAGGTGTACCTAATAAAATGGCCGGTGAATGTGTAATATTATAACTTACCTATTTAAAAAGTTGATTCTATCCTTGTATTAGTATCATTGGTAAGTATTTTGCCGTTTTCCATGTGTATTAGTTTTGTGCTTTTGTAAAACTGTTGTGACGCTTACACTTGATATTTGACCAAGATATCTTCACGCTCTACACCAGGGGTGTCAAACTCAGTTCCAGAAGGGCCGAAGCCCTGCACAGTTTAGTTCCAACCCTGCTCCAACACACTTACCTGTAGGTTTCAAACAAGCCTGAAGGACTCAATTAGTTTGATCAGGTGTGTTTAATTAGGGTTGGAACTAAACTGTGCAGAGCTGCGGCCCTTTTGGAACTGAGTTTGACACCTGTGCTCTAAACCCTTTGGACATTAAATAGTGCACACAAATCTCTCCAGTAATCAAAGCATGACTTCATTTGGAAAAAGGCCTGAGGCTGTGATGTAAATGATGGAGGCGATCATACAGATTCTGATGGGTTTACTGCATTTTCATGCGTTCGTTTAGCAGGAGGTTTAACCAAAGCAGTTTACAAATGAAGGCAAGCGCAAACAATCGGTTCTGAAGGCGGCAAGAGTTAGTAGCAGACCTATTTTTTGATTAATCTTCATTGATGGGGAAGATTTAGGATAGAGGATATTGAATTGTTTACCTCTTTTTCTGTAGTAGTAATATTTGTAAAATTTTGCCTATTTTTGGATCATTTAAGTTAATAATTGAAGTATTATATTAGTTTATAATGTTGTTTATAACTTTATAGAAGTTAATTTTTTTCCTATTCCATTTTTTATTTTACTTTCATTTGTTGTTTTTTTCCTCTCCATCTTGACGTATTGATCTTCTCATTTTATATCTATTTATAATATAATATCTTTTACAATCTGTCTTTATTTATTTGTTTTATTTATTTTCATATCTGTCTTGATGTCCTTGATATCTTGATCTCTGAATGGGTTCAGCTGAGTAAAAAAATGTATGACATCCAGATTAAGATGTCATAAGGACATGGAAGTGTGGCTGTATTCATTCATGCATTCATTCATTCATTCATTTATTTATATTATAATTTTATAACTATTTTAAATATTTAAATTCATACTGCTCTATTTTTTTACTTGTTCCATAGAGGTCTTGATGTCTCAAGGTTAGACTTATTAAGCAATACTAGGACATGACCTCAATATTTTTGCTGTTGCAAAATATATTTACAAATTCACAAATAACATTAAAGCCATTTTACAATAGCATTTACATTCTACCTCACCAGTGTCAAAGTTAATATTTGGACAATTACCTAATAGGACATTTAATAGTGTATGCACTCACTGGCCACTTTATTAGGTACAGCTGTCCAACTGCTTGTTACCGCAAATTTCTAATCAGCCAATCACATTGCAGCAGCTCACTACTTTTTGGCATATATACATGGTCAAGACGATCTGCTGCAGGTCAAAGCGAGCATCAGAATGGGGAAGAAAGGGGATTTAAGTGACTTTGAACGTGGCATGGTTGTTGCTGCAAGACGGGCTGCTCTGAGTATTTCAGAAACTGCTGATCTACTGGGATTTTCACGCACAACCATCTCTAGGCTTTACAGAGAATGCTCCGACAAAGAGGAAATATCCAGTGAGCGGATATCGGACAATAGAAGATTGGAGAAATGTTTCCTGGTCTGATGAGTCTGTTTCTGCTGCCACCAGGGGCGGACTGGCCATCTGGCAGACCGGGCAGTTTCCCCATTGGGCCGACATACTTTTTAGGGCTGGGCTGATCATCTTCTTTTGATCTGATCGGTCCATAAAATGCTTTGCAGCCTATGGTTTTTAGTTAATTGACGCTGTGATGCTCTGAAAAAAAAGATCCTTTTTTTTTTTGATATCGGATTAATTTGCATACGCGTTTTATAAGCTATAAAATGAAAGCCCTTAGTTTGGTGTGTTTGGATTCATAGATTGAGAATTACAGCTCAGTGTTTTGTGTCTAAGAGTTTAGTTTTGTGTCCACTAGCCCTGTAATAATCAGGATAATGTAGATCCAGCCGGTGGTCTGATGAGTCTCCATTTCTGCTGCCGCATTCAGATGCTCGGGGCAGAATTTGGCCTCAACAACATGAAAGCATGGATCATCCTGCCTTGTATCAGCGGTTCAGGCTGGTGGTGGTGGTGTAATGGTGTGGGGGAGATTTTCTTTGGGTTCATTAGTACCAATTGAGCATCAACGCCACAGCCTACCTGAGTACTGCTGCTGACCATGTCCATCCCTTTATGAGCACAGTGTCTCCATCTTCTGATGGCTACTTCCAGCAGGATAACGCAGCATGTCATGAAGCTCAATCATCTCAGACTGGTTTCTTGAACATGATGATGAGTTCACTGTACTCAAATGGCCTCCACAGTCACCAGAGCTCAATCCAATAGAGCAGCTTTGGGATGTGGTGGAACGGGAGATTGGCATCATGGATGTGCAGCCGACAAATCTGCAGCAACTGTGTGATGCTATCATGACAACATGGAGCAAAATCCCTGTGGAATATTTCCAGTAGCTTGTTAAATCTCTGACATGAAGGATTAAGGCAGATCTGAAGGCAAAAGGGCTCCAACCCGGTGCTAGTAAGGTATACCTAATAAAGTGGCCGGGGAGTGTATAATAGGACTTTTACCTCTTTAGCATCAAATTGTAGAATCTAAATAACATTAAGAATAAGTGTTTGCATTATTATGCTGTTATATATTCATAAAATGATCTCAAAATGCCAATAATATGGCTTTCCACAACGCTTTCAGTGACGATACATCACACAATCACAGGACAGCTCATGGCTTCACCTGAGGTCAGCATTTGTTTATCCAGGTCATTGTGTCATGAATGTCAGCACATGAAGGAGGTGCGGCGGTGAGGATGACACAATAGATAAATAATCATCTGTGTCGTTGTAAATTTAAAGTAAACCCAGAAGAGGAACGAGCCGCGTACCGAACCCTGAGGCACACCGCAGGTAAGACTTCATTATTTGGACTTCCAGAGGAGACTCTGATCATTGAAATTGACTTGTTTAGTTATAACTTATACATCATAATCTATTGACTAGACTTGAGTCGTGAGGTTGAAGAATAAGCTGAAATTTGTAACATGCAAACTTCTAAATTAAATCAATTTTTTTGCAAAAGACAAGACAAAACTAGTTCAATTTAAGTTTATTTGTGTAGTTCTGTTTACAATAGTTATTGTTTCAAAGCAGCCTTGCACATTATTACGTTACGATCATGTTACATTTAGGTTATACTCAAATACTCGAATATAAGTTATTGCATACAGACACAGTTAACCTACAGTATGTAGTTTTATAGCTTATGTAATTATATTTGATGCATGTTTAAGTATCATGTTTTATATCATCCATTACTGTGAGATCATTGATTTGATTGTTCAGAGATTATAAAGAAATCTTTCTGGTCTGTTTTATAGTGCTTTGATTGGTTCACAGAAGATTCATGTTGTTGTTCTTGTAGGCGGCTCATCATGGAGACGGTTCTGCTGTTGCTGCTCCTCACAGGTTAGCTTTTCTTTTATATAATAAACTTTGTGTCATGACCAGGGCCAGACAGAATCTGCGGACGTTTTTTTGCTATTTCTGCGCAGAATTGTGTTAAAAATCTGCGGATTTCTTCAGAATTATTTTGGGAGTATCATTATTAAAACCTTAATTTACTAAATAAAACAGAATGCATTTTTAACTTGTATTGAATGTTCACAATTAGATCTACTTTATTTGGTAAACAAAGCAAGTCTCTCATATAATACCTCTACTAAAAGACAGAACATATGACTGTACACACTGTATTGTAAATAAATCATATAATGTCATATTAGTCAATAATATCACTGTAAATAATTTAAAAACTGAATAAATATGAATGTACACACATTTACACGAGTAAATAAACAGACTCAATGATGGGCTAAAGATCTGCGTGCACAGATTCTGTCATTAGCTCTGTTTCTATCTAAAGATGTACATTAAGCTTATGCACCAAACTGGATTATGGCATAAAAGACGTTTGGACAGCGGCACCCTCAGAAAAAGTTATATTTCTGTTTCTGGTAAATTAAATAAAGTTTAATATTATCAGAACTGCTACGAGAATAATAGGATCTGAAACTCTTACTAGTATTCAAAGCCTTTACGAGCAATGCGCTCTGAATGAAGCAAGAATTTTAAGTAACCCATCTCATGCACTCCACATTTCACGAGAACATACAAAACCTTCCGCTGGAAGCGAAACCGACTAAGACTCTTTTATCCCAGCGTCAATCAGACTGTTGAACACTGATCGATAGTGTGTGTAGTTCTTTTGCTTGTTTGCTTATTAGGGGCCAAGCACCGCAGGTGCGTAGGCACCTATTGGATCCGTTAGCGTTCCTATTATTATTATTCTTCCTTCTTCTTCCGTTTCTTCCGCCAGATTTGAATGGCAGCCCATATAGGCGTATGCGGGAAAGTTATATAATTTGGCACAATGATAGAGGACAGTATTAACATTAATCAGACCAAATATGAAGTCTCAAAATCAAACTCTCTAGCGCCACCACTTGTCCAAACTTTCATGTACGTTTATCATGATAACTTTTGAACCGAATGGGCTACAATCAAAATTCTTTTTTCCTCTGATTCCTTAGCTCAGTCCGATTCAAACGCACTCTATGACGTCATTTTCCGTCATGAATTTTTTCGCGCTATTTTAAATTATTCGAAAAACCTATTTGATCGAACTCGTCCTAGGCCGTTTCTCTGATTATCACCAAAATTAGATCACATGATCTACAGACCATGCCAACCAAAAGTCATGAAATTCAAGTTGATTTGACCAACCGTTTTCGTTTAACTTGCGATCAAATTTAACGTAGGACTTGCGAAAATGGACTTGAGACGATATCTCCGTAACACATTCACCGATTTACACCCAACTTGGTGTGTGTTATGACAACTAGGGTCTGAGGTTATATGCGGAGTTTCGGCGCACTGCCCCCTAGTGGTCCGGAAATACAAAAAACTTGCTTTTTGCCTTTTAACGTCTCAACCTTTCGTCTGAAACTCATAAAACTGGTCTCATTACATCTGGCAGAGCATGCCGAGTCGAATGATGTCTGATTTTCACAGGTCAGCCATTTTGGGCGTCGCCCATTTCGATTTTTGGCCAAAAATGCTATATTTTACCAACACATTCACATATCATTACAAAACATGGTATACATCTTCAACCCCATGCCCTGAAAGTCCTTAAAAACTTCTGGAGCAGCGCCATCTTTTGGTCAAAAGTGCTGGGCCCCTTAATTGCTGCTTGCAGCTATATTTTTTAATTGTTATTGTGTCAGCACAGTGCTGTGTGAGTCCACAGAAAATTTCCTCTTGAGGGACTATAAAGTATACAAACAAGCAAACGAAATAATGTGGGATTTAAATAATTAGTTACTCTTAAAATAATCCAACTTATTCCTTGAAATAGTTCCTCAAGTACATGTGCACACCAAATAAATATCAATATTCAGTTCAAAATGACTTTTACAGCCTACATTTCCCATGCTTTTATTGTACAGCATACAGTATATGCCCTGACTAAAATCAATGAATGAAAGGCATTACTATATACCAGGGGCCTGTTTCAGTAAGGAGGTTCAAACAACTCAGAGTTTAAACTTGAAGTCTGAGTTGATTTACCGAGAGATTAAAAACTCTGAGTTTTCGGTTTCAGAACAGCTGATCTGAGTTGGGTCAATCAACTTCGAGTAGACCAACTCAGAGTTAAGCGCGCACACCGTGACTTTAAAAAGGCATTATCAATGGAGCGCAGACATTACGAGTGACTATGTCTGAAACCATGAGACGCGGAGACTCTTGACACGCACCAGACGTTCGGAGGTAATTAATAATTGTACACTAATACCGAAACAGTTAAGGCATTTTAGAATGACTAAAACAATATTTAAGACGTGTTACAGTGTGCTCAGCCTCCATTTACAC